TTCTTGTTCGCTTTTTCCACACTGGATAAAAGCCACCGGCTGAGCTAGTGGTGCGGCACTGTGGAACAGTAAAGTTTCAGCTTTCTAGGATTCTGATTACTGTGAAAGAAAACTCCGACAGTCTTGCAGTAGAATTTTGAAGGCCAAGAAATTAGTTGGACTGCGTAAGATTATGAAAACATGTCAAATGCAAGGGTAATGGTACTAATCTTACCAGTTGCACACACATCCAAAACAGTGAGGAACAAAGCAGACAACAAACTATTCTTTTCTAATCCTGTCGAGATGTATAAGCTGGTGGAGACGTTTATAACTTGTCTTTAGTAATTAAAGTTGTGCTGATATATTCTTTAGCGATTATAATAAAGGCAAGAAAAATGTGCTACAGTGTATTAAATTCCACTAAAAAGTGAACATAATGGGTCTTGCTAAAACGTGCTAAACTGCAGCTAAAAAATAAGAAATAAATCCAGAGAAACAGCAAAAACTGCTAAGCAATGAGATAGAAATATAACCAGCTCTGCCAAAATCGGAAAAAAGTGGAGCTCCCTTTCAATCGGAACTAGCATTCCTCACTATCATCTGCAATCAATAAAAATTATGGATAATGGAGTGGAAAGAACTAAATAATACCTGGAGGCTCCAGTGCCACCATCGTGTCCCGAAATGGTGATATGATCAGCCTTGCCTTTTGCAACGCCAGCAGCAATAATCCCAACGCCAGCTTCCGAAACCAGTTTCACGCTAATGCGTGCTAACGGATTTGCGCACTTCAGGTCGTAAATGAGTTGCGCCAGGTCCTCAATACTGTAAATATCGTGGTGTGGAGGAGGTGAAATAAGGCCGACGCCTGGAGTTGACTTACGTGTGGCTGCTATTTCCACGCTAACTTTGTGGCCTGGCAGCTCGCCGCCTTCACCTGGTTTGGCACCTTGTGCAATCTTAATTTGTAATTCGTCCGCATTTGCCAAATATGCGCTATTCACACCGAACCGAGCTGATGCTATCTGAAATTTATACAAGCCTCAGTAGTGAGTTAAACTGGTACTTTTCGATAGCGCGATGGAGGCAGCAAGAACAGACTGCTACCATTACATCAAGAAAAGAGCCAAAATTCGATCGGAAATCAAGCTCTCTAAAAATATCGTTGGATCACCCAATTAGCACGTACATGTGAATCTGTGGGACTCGCGTGCTTTTCGCTTAGATAAATAAACGTACGTGTATTGGCTTTTACAACTAGTTACTGAAAGGGACGAGGATGGAGCACAGAGGGAGGGAGGGCTTCGAGTCTAGTCAACATTCGAATTAATACTGAATGAATTCACTGTAAAGATATTTTAACACTGCCAATTTTTATGCGTTTCTACGCAGTTGCTTCTCCGCGCATTATTTATTTTGGGAATCATAAGACTAAATAAAATTTGCGGGATATAGTTCCCGTACATATATGAGCTCAAAAAACATAAAATGAATTTCCAAGTCGGTTTTTGTGCCTTGACCTGTACCGCGGATCAAAAATCGGACCAAATTAAGTTTTGAGGGTATAATTAGTCACATTGTGCCAGTTAAATAGCCAGACAAGAACTATTAAATTCCTCTACGTGTTAACCTGTTGATTAGGTACAAAGATCAAATTTAGGCAGAAATTTCAGCTAATTTTATAATTTCAAAGTGGAAGAAGCCAGTAATTTCACTTTGTTGGGCTACAGTTTTTCACTTGAAAAGGTTCGAATGACTTTATACAACTGCTAATGATGTAGCAGGAGTTGCAGAATAAGCAATATGACGAATTAAGGATGGCAGCTTGTCGACCTGCTTGATCGCTGATCGTAAGTTACGCTCTTTTGGCTGATCATTTCGATAGCGTTCCGCTTTTTCACCGCCCTCACCGGTATTTGACTTGCCACCAATTCGGTTCATCGCGATAGCCAGCGTAGTGTGCGCTTCCCACGAAATGCTCCCAAATGACATCGCGCCTCAAATATTTTATAGGATGGCCTGTACGTCTTGGAAACGGCATTTCGATATGCACACTTATGGAGAATGCGGTAAACTAAAGCCTGTACTGCCCAAAAAACATAAATTAGAGCGGCCATGCTGTTATTTTAGCAAAATATTTTGGTACTTTTAAACTTTAATCAGCTGCAGCTAATATGCGTCGTTCTCCAACTGTGCAGTTGGCAACTTTTCTATTCTCTTTGACCAGTGCTGTATCGCCGCGCGTTCAGTCTGCTGGCAATTCTGACGTCCGATTCATCTCTTGAAGGAATTATCCGCTTAATTATTCTCCAGATAGAAGCTCTTTAGAAGAACTAGCTGCTCTGATGTGTCATTGCTGTGCATGTGCGTATTTGTGTACGTGTTTGAGTATTTTATGCGAATTATCAGCACGCCAATGACGTCGTCACTCTTCGATCACAGAACCTTATAGTGTCTAGAAGCAGCAACACAAAAAAGAAACAAGCTGGTAAGAGCGCAGTTCATAGAACATCGCATCCTAGTCCCTAATTATCCCCAAATTCCCAAACCAAAACAAAAAAGGGTTTGCAACAGACAGCATCCTGTACTCATAGCAGCCGAAACCAGCAAAGTTTTGAAGATTTTAAATCTTTGTAATGCATCGGTCACAGTAAAATGATACCAGTAACGAATCGTTTGACGATCTCTGAGGCAGGCTCCACTTCTGAAAGCGGTATTTTCAACTTCTTACTCGTTTTTATCTCCAACTGGCCACGAAGCGTGCACATACGCTGCGACAAATTTGATGCCGTCGAATATTCATGGAACGTCTTCGGGTCATTTAGTTTTGTAGCGGCCTGAAAAAAGACAAAGAAATTCATTTTACGCAAGTCCAGTTTCGCTATAATTTTAGGACTGTAATATAGCAAGAAATTATCCTCTAGTGCTACACACTGGAAGATCCAGAAATAACACTGTAAGAAAACTGTTACCTGTAATTTTGCGATATTTTCAGGTTCATTGATGTGTCGCTCACCACCATCTCTCCAGTGATAAATTCCAGGACTGATTAAAGTCTTGCTGTCACCTGTAAAATAGGTACATTTTAAATAACCGTTATCTTAGAATATACTTGTTGCCAGAAGCTTTTTTATGGTTTTCGTATGAATTAGTATTCTAATATTTCCAATTTGCATGTTTCTTAGTTCTTAAATATGAAATTAGCCGAAGTCTGGACCTGAAACGCGCATAAAAAGAGGCAAGAGCAGATGTGAGTTAGGCTTTTGGCTGTATCCTCTCCCTCCTCCCCTCTCCCCCCCCCCCCCC